CTGCCTGTCTATCTGTCTGCCTGTCTGTCTGTCTGTCTCTTCGACTATTTGTGTGCCTGTCTGTCTCTTTGTCTCTCTATGTGTTTGTTTGTGTGATTGTCTGTCTGTCTGTCGTCTGTCAGTAGTCTGTCATTCAGTCAGTAAACTAGGTAGTACCTGGAAAGGCATCTGAAAAGGTAGTCTAATGTTCGAGCTTTCGAGGGGGAACATCGACAGAGCATAGGTGAATTCACTGGAATGGGACGTGCTTGGAGTAAAACTGCCTGACTTGGTTCCAAAAGGCTCTGAAATTGAAGGGGACCTACCCGCAGTGGGCGAAGGATCCTTCAAGTGTGGTACATACAAATAACTTTATAAGCCGATTTCGCAAAACCCTGGGGGATACAAAAATAGTGTAGCAGTAGGCAAAGACCAAGATGTACTGAACATGCCTGAAATTGTCGGTCTTAACAACTATCTACCCCTTCCTTGCTGGTACATGGGATGTGTCACAAATACTGGATGCGGTGGGATTATGCCTTTTAAACAAAGTATTATTAATTATTCTGAAAGGGGGCAACAAGTCATTCTGTCATGATGGCCTCCATGATCACTGTTATATTAAAGGACAGCTTCACAATTTGACGCAGCATTCTCGTCCAGTGTCATTCTATTCTTTTCTATTACAAACTTGAGCCTTTGTAAAGGTTACGTGTGAAATATTCCAAAAATCCCTTTAATCGGAGATACCATCTCATGTCCACATGATGAAAAGAAGATTGCAAGAAGGGTTGCCTTAGGCTTCCGTGAAGGACCAAAATATTCCCCTTGCTCTGACAACAATTTTTCTCATCCAATAGACATGAGTCGACATGAGCATGCTCCATCTCTCGTTCGAATCTGATGCACACTCGATAACCTTCGTGCTTAGTATATTTTCCTTTGTAGTGATCATTTCTCTCTATATATAGCGTGCGAATTCATCAATAATGTTGTGGAACGTCATTGTTCATGAATTCGCGCAGCTTATATGATATGTACAGGTTTGTAATGGCCATGCAGAGTTAGCCATATGTTATACATCTTGTTTCTGACCCTCACTTGACCTATCATCCTTCCAGTTGGAGACACAATTGCGTTCACTAGAAAGCCTGAGGGAAAAAGCATTCCAGATGAAGCAATTCGCCCAGCCAAACACGAAGTGTCTTTATAATACAATTGTGCTGTTGACTAATCGGGTATTTGTCACCGATCAGGAGATGCTCGGAAAAGTGGGTTCCTAGCTCATTCATAAAATCATTAACAATCGAATTCAGCATATTTTCGCCTTTGCAGGATGTCGCGAATATCGTCAATTACGGCTGTATCACATTTACTGTTATCGCTCTTGGTAACACTGGTATCACCCAAGAACTGCTATATCAATACTATTCATCGTATACTCAACGCCTCTTCGTCGTCCCTGGCTATAACTGCATTACCAGACTAGACGTATGTTCATATGGAGGGTCGCTCAAGCCATTGGCTAAAAACATGAATACGACACAGGCGACTGTCAAGTAGTTATTCATCGTAATGCGGACCAACTAGACCTTTGATAGTTCCCTCAAAAATTGGCTTAGGTTCTCACCCTGACCAAGGAGGGGTAGTCTACTTATCTTGGAACTTTGAATGGAGACTTAGATGAATCGATAGAGCTTCGAATGCTGTTCACGAAAATGGAAATTAAAACTGCAAAATATGTTCCTTAAAAAGTTATGGGGGCCCGAATTTTGCTCGACAGTAGTACAATTGGATATGCGAACTCGTCGCTTCATTATCAAGTGCCAACGCGGCCGAGTGGTAGTGGTATGGCTTTATAGGTGCTACATGAGGGTTTGCTCCCCGCCATCGTCGGCATTTTTGCAGAGTGTTTTTTCATTTCGTTAAAGGCTCTCTGAACCTTTTGTGACATTTGTTTGTGTGAACGCCTGTTTTCAACATTTCAGCATTTCATCAAGCTTGAAAATTTTTCAGAGCTCCAAATGTAGTGGTCAGAGCTGGAATGCTCTTGGTACAAGGCAGGATATGTTGTTGGAAACCCAGACTCACGTACCACACTTAGCGGTGTTGTTCAATCTTGATAAAAATAACTGTTTTGTCTCCGGTTGTAGAGGAGCATCATGTATAAGATGCGCGGTTAGTGAACAACAAGCGTGTTGCATCCATTTTCCTTTCGGCTTTTCCTAT